TGGGAAAGATGCTTTTTCAATAGTTTAGTAGTTATTATTTTTAAAACTTGTCTTTAAATTCTGTTAGTAGTAAATAATTTAGTTTTGATAGTATCTTTAACTTTCAAAGTTAGTGACAGTAATTTTGTTTGATTTCTCTAAATTTCTTAGTTAATTTATCATTTCAAATTTAAACCTTCCCCGTGGGATCGATATTTGGGACTTAAACAGAAAATCTTATATTACTTGATAGTGATACGTATACTTGCATAGAATCTCAACCTTAAGAGCTTAATGTTATTATTACTAAAATACCACATCAATTTTTTGGCACCATTGTAAAACAAAGTCAACTTTATAAATTTCACACAACTATATTCAACCGGGATCACACAATCATATCAATTAGGAACTTAGCTTTAAATTAGTCAATATTTTTTATGCACTCGGGAGAGGGAAAAGAATAATTATGATCCTATTTGTCACAAAATCACATTTTAAACTTTAAACATTTGATTTCTACACTGATTATAATCTCATTGCAAGGGGAAAGCCTTTTCATATTATTCAAACTCTTTTACACATAACTAGTTTAGAATAATTGCATTTACTTTTAGTTTTAAATTAAAGTTAGCAAACTTTTGTTTTTAACACTTTACAAACATTTTGATATTATTCTCCTACATATTTTGTTTGCAGTTTACATAAAAGTTCTTCTAAGTTGAAATAGAAATTTCATTCTTCTTTGTAGGTTCGATACTGAGACTTTTAAGGAAAACTTTATATTACTTGAAACAATACGTATACTCGCGTAGTACCCCTAGTGGGTAAACCATTAATTAAAATTCTAAATTCTATAATCTAATTATTCTGCACACTAGCCGCTAAATATAAATTGGGTCAAATTTTTTGTCATCATTTGGAACTTAATTGTACCCGTAATTGTTAGTCGGGTCAAAACATAAAGGAAAATGCTTTTACTACTTATGGTAAAATAGAATTTTATTTTTGAAAAGCTAGGATTCTTAGATTTACACTTTATAAGAATTTAGCCTCTATTAAAACCTATTTTCAAACTAATACTCAAAATTATCAAGTAAAGGAAAGTGATGAATTCTTAATTTTTGGAGGGTAGTGAAATTCAAAACTATTAAAGACCGATCAAGATATAATAATCCTCACATAAAAGTAGAAATGATTGGAAATAATCCTAAAAAAATATAAAAGAAAACAAAAGTGAGAGAAAAGTAAAAGAAATGAAAAGTGAGCAGAATATTGAGGAGAAGCCTAATCAAAAATTGGTTTCAAGTGAACCTTCTTAAACGAGAAGACTATGAAAAACATTAGTCAAATCTTTACTAATAGAGTGCTTTAAATTTTTTCTTGTATACTTTCTAGGAATCCCAAGCTTGATAAATTTCACTTAATTTTGAAATGGATAGAAAATTAGAATTCTTAAGTTGAATACAAGATATTCTTACACCGTGGTCCTAGCCCGATTCACTATAATTTACCCTAGGTTGCACTATGACATTCTTGAGGAAAAATTATAGGAAATCTTAATGAAACCCACTACCTCAAATCAACAAACTTAGTTTTTAAATTTGTAGTGTCACTTGAGGACAAACAACATTTAAGTTTGGGGATTTTCATATGTCTTTTAGCATGCTTAATTTCTTTTACTTTCTGCATTTATTTTTGGATGAAGTTACACTTTGAAGAAAGGTATTTTCATGTTTTTATTTTAGGTATAACAGGTATGACAATTGGAGCAAATCGGTGTGGAAACGGAGCGAAACAGAGATAATTGAAGAAAATGGAGTTGCCAAAAGGCTAGCGCCTAGGTGCCACTTTCTGGGTGCCATGACACTGCCCCATAGCACCTTGGCACTACAGACAGCGCCTAGGTGTCAAGGTTCTCCCATGCAAATAGAGAAGGCGGGGTCTGGGTGCCTGGGCAAGGCGCCAGAACTGTCTAGTGCGGTTTTTACAGTTGGTTATGTACGAATTTGGAAGTTAAGAAGCCATGGAAGCAGTTCAAACAGGGGGTGGATCTTTTGGGAAGTATTTGAGAAAGCCTAAGGGTGCAGAAAATGAAAGTTTAGAGTTAAGTTTTTCATTTTTCTGCATTTTCTTAGAGAGATTTGAGAGAATAACGTAAGGCATTACTGTTTGTAGTGCAAGGAACCCTTGAAGATCACTTAGGGAGGAATTTACGCTTCTTTTCTCATGGAGAAAGATAAGTGTATCATTGTACATTGTCTTGTATTAGCTGTGAACTCATTTTGTATGAATTTGCTTTATTATAAGATAATGAATTGTAGTGTTTTTCTCATGCATTGTGAGTAGATCCTTTATACATTTATCACAAATATGTGTAAAGAATTTGATTGTATTTAGAATAGGTTTTTGTTTTAAAGTGATGGTTTTACTTTGTACTTCATTTACTTATCATTTTAACCAAGTGATATGTTAATTTTTTTTTTGTGAATCTATAAAGACTCGAGAGAGTTATGGCTTTAACAAGTAGGAGAAACCACATTGCACTAATTGGTTAAGGAAAAGCAATATATAGGGCAATGCAAATAGATAGAGAAATAAGCATGGGGTTTCTCGAATGAAAGGTAAAAACACTAACCAAGTTTTAACCAAACATCTTTATGCACTCAAAAGATGATAAAGAGGATTACTCCTATTTGTCACATACAACAATCTTTATTTTTGAGTGTTCCATTACTACACACATTACTTAGGTTATTGCAAGGGAAGGATAGTTTACATATCTTAATCTTTCTCGACTTCATTAGCTTAGTAGAATTAACTTAAGAGTAAGTCAATAAGTTTTGCGATAATTTAGTAGGGTTGATAAGCACAACTTGGATTGACTATACTTCCAGGCTAAGTCTCATTATAGTAGGCTAGAACTTTTCTTAAGCTCAAATCACGGCCTTCTCTGCGGGATCGTTAATCCGAATTCAATAATCCGACATTACTTGAACGATATGTACACTTGCGTGAAACTCTTAATATGTAGTGTTAAATTGTTGTAAAACTCAAGTTTTAAACATTATAATATATATTTAAGATTTCAAATATTTCATCAAAATACACTAGGTTAAACCACAGTACGATCAGATAGTAGCCTAAAAACTAACAAAACCATTAAGGTGATCTGTGCCGCATTCAAGGACCCGAGCAATTTTTTTCAACTGTTTCACTTTTGATACAGGTAGCAAAGATGGACACTCAATATGACAGAACTTTTTGTTAACTAAAATTGTCTTTAAAAAATCATCTTAGATAAACATCCATCTCAATAGATAAGATTTTGTTTGATAATGAAAAAGATGCTTATTGATAAAGATCCTTCAGATTTATTGGGTCAACTATCTTATTTGACCAAGTAGACCACATTACATAACAATCGTTAAGGACAAATAAAAAGTCTTAATTAATCATCATTTTCTCTATTGTTTACTCTATCTAACATCAAATTTTTCTAATCACAACTAAACTATTGTTGATGTACAATAAGCGATAAACAACCTAGTAACCAACATTAATTATAAGCTCTCTTTCATTACCAAGAGAGATAATTATCCATAGAGGCTTGCGCCAATGAGAAATCTCAAATCAGATCTTAAAATCCTCATAAAAAGAAAATAAATTTTTAAGAGGTGTCTTATCGTAAGTTTAATCTACCTTCTAAAAAATTGATCTGAAACAAAATCCAAATTCTTATGAGGCCATGGTGCAAATTTTGGGAACCCTTTCGACTATTGTAAATGAATCGACTGAGAAATCAAAAAATAGATCAATTGATGGATAATACTTCAATTACTTATTGAGAGAAAAAAAAGATGAGATTGCATTGATAATGAACTATTCTTTTAACCCATCTAGAAATGAAAAGTAGATTAAAAAAATAGTTTGAAGTACCTTTATCATCATATATTTTAATCGTTTATATCAAAAAATTAAGAAAAAAAAAGAAACCTAAAACTACAAATGTTGATCACTAGCACAAATAAAAGAGCTTAAGAAAATTTCTGAACTGACCAATTTATGACTCATCAAGAAATACCTTCAAATCTTGAAACAAAATCCATAAAAAAATTTTCTTTGAATACATTAGAAATTTTCCAGCTCTACGGCGTTTGCATGCGCTTTTAATGAGTAATAGCTTATACATATATATATAAAGTAGTGCAATGTAAACACTGTAGAACTCATATGTATAATGTTGTGCAGTCTTTTATATATCTATATATACATATCCAATTAGCTTTTTAATTTCGTGCAGATCATTATGTAATCGTTTCAAGGGGGGAATCGAAGATGATGATTCTATTATTTTATTTAAGAAATTTATCATTTGGTGGCAATTTGAGTCCGGAGTTTAATAGTGAGGAGTCATGTGTCAAGTGGGCCCCACCGCAATACACTGGCATTGGTCAATTTTAAAAATGGTTAGACCCACTTAGCACGGGGCGCCCCACCATTAGACTAGGATATAATATTTATTCTTTTAGTGCAGACCATAATGTGCAGCAAGAATGTTAAGCCCTAAGTACAAATAGTTAGTGCAACAACCGGTCCTGGCCTCAAGTAAGTTCTTCGATCACCGTTGCAGTAAATAGATAACAATTGGATACAAAGATTTCATGAACATGAAAAGATCATCAATTTGTTTAAAAAGGAAATAATTCTGCAAAGAAAGCTATACAAGCAAATACCAAACTCAACAAAACCAGATAGAGGAATAAATAATATTTCTCAGCACTACTTAGCACGCGCAACCATTGCATGCCAGTATATTTATTAATCCAGGCAAGCAGCAGAAAGCCAAGTATCTGGAAACACCACAACTGATGCTGGGATATACATACACATTACACGCCAATGGCCAAATCTGCGTTAGAAACTTGCTTAGTGCAAGTCCAGAAACTTGTGAGGCTTAATCAATAATTTCAATAATAAATTTAAATTTTATAGTACCTATAATCATATCACTGGGAGAATTTGTCAAAAAAGGAAAATGGTACATCACCATTATGTTTATATAACAAAAAAAAAAGAAAGAATGGATGCAAATATTCTATTATACATAACAAGGCCGAATTTGCACAATGCTTCATTTAAAATCTACCTAAAAATCTAACAAAATTGCAGCTGCAATTGCGCGCGCAATGAGGAATCTGATATTCAAGTAGGAGAATGTGCGAGCGCAAGAGTATGCCACCACCCGCAAGAAACATTCATCACACGGAGGTTCTCAATTGGCACCAGAGATGGTATGTTCCGGTCGATAGAATCACCGAGGCCGAGCTGTACAACAGAAGATTATTCAGGAACTCATTGGGCATGCTATTAAATTTCACTTTAAGATGGTAAGATGGCATGATCGATTCAATTTTATAAGAATAAATCATAGTAAGCCAGGGATATGATGCCTTAACAAACTTGATTTGAGATTTTGCAATATGGCTTGGAACATTAATTTATGGTGGGAATTTATAGCACATAAATAGAGCGGTAACCAGATTAGTGGACACAATAAATAGCTCAATGTATGTTCATCTAAGACTTCTTTATGTCTGTTTGTCAAATAATTGAACAATATTTTAAAATAAGTTTAAGAACATGACAAATATGAAAATAAACTTGAACATTGACAGCTCATTTATTATGTTTGTGAAAAATGCTCATTTATTTTTTTAACAATTAGATTGATAAAATGTTCATTCAATGATAATTTGATTCTCATTTGATGATTTTTTTTCCTATTCTAATATCAAGTTTATTATATCATTTGGACTTTATATTGCATACATTAATTGAGAATGAATTATGATGCAAAAATCAAACAAATAGTTAAATATATAGAATATTTTTTTTATATATAAATATTTCATTCCATCAACAACATATACATAGTAAATTATGTCAATTTTAATTAAAACATATAAATCAATTTATGTCAAGTAATAAGCATATATATTTAAATCATTAGCATAAACCTACTTAGGCAGAATTAAAAATCAAATACACCAAAAACTCGTTCAGAAAGCTAATAAAAAAGCATGAACAATGTTTTAAAACTAGGGTCATATTCAAGTGCAGCTCAAAATTGGTAAAGAAAATCAAAGAGCAGGACAGCATTTAGCTGAACTAAGGTTATTTGCAGCCCTGCCCTTGGGGTGCACCAAAGTTGAGATATGATTTTGTTTGACTAGAGGTGCACGACTCACTTGGCATGTATTTTGATGCAATATGTGTCCATCACATTACAGTACATTAGCGTAATGGCATATATTTTTTAAACAATATATGATTTTGTTCCCTTTAGGTGGCAAGTAATTGGCATGCATGATATAAATTATAATTGTGTCCCAATAAAATATAGAGATAATTACATAAAAAACACCCGAAATATTCATGTTTACAAAATCTAGCCCTCGGGTGATATTTTTGAACTAACAAACCATCGTATTTACAAATGCCATGGTCAAAGCATTGAAAATTTAATAAAAATGAAAAAAATGGGTAGGTGTTTTATCATGAAGTTTGATAATTGAGTGAGAATTTGAAAATTGGGTGAAAGAGGGAGCTAGCATGTAAATAACAATGTTTCGGGTGCTATGCATGTAATTGCCCCTAAAATATATTAGTGCTAAAGCATGTATGTTAGTGCCATGTTTGCCTTAACATGCAAATCAAGTTGACTAGTTGACAAGCATATTTAAGTCAACTAGGAATCAGCAGGATCAAGCCTGACTCCTTCACTATCATATTTGATCAACTCAGTTTACATAAACTTCGTTGGGAGGCCCAGACCTAGACATTAATACCTATTTGATCCTTTTGGTTATCAGGAGGCCAGTGTTTTAATTGAAAGTAATTACTCTTCAAATCTATTTCCTTCATTTATGAGTTGGGCTTCTATAGAGTCTTAAAATCCTTTTTACAAATAACCCCTAGACTTCTTCTATAAATCCTATTTACAAATAGAACACTCAAAATAGGAGACAAATCTCATCACTCCCTCTCAAGATGGGTAAAAGATATCTACTAAGCCCATCTTGTCACATAATCTAGACAGATTCAATGAACTAAGTCCTTTAGTGAGGCAATCAACCACTTGCTCTCCAGTGGCTACAAGATTTGGCTCCAATATGTCGTTATTCAACTTTTCCTTTATGAAGAATCTATCAATCTACACATGTTTCGTTCTATCATGTTGCACCGGGTTGCTGGCAATGTTGATTACTGGCTTGTTGTCACACCACAACTTCATTTGAGTTCCATGATCCACCTTGAGCTTGAACAACAAGGCTCTCAACCAAATCATCTTGGCAACTCCTAAAGAGCGACCCCTTCCCTGATGCACTCTTCAGGTACCTCAAAATATAATACACTGCGTCCATATGCCCCTTCCTTGGATCATGCATATAACAACTCACCACGCTCACTACAAATGAGATATCGGGACACGTGTGGCATAGATTAGACGACCCACTAGGCTTTGGTATCTCTCATAATCAATTGACTCTCTTACATTTGCACTCAACTTAGCCTTCTGATCAATTAGAGAGATTGCAGGCTTGCATGCCAACATGTTTATTTCTGTGAGAAGATCTAGTACATACTTTCTCTGGTCCTGGAGCCACCACAATCACAAGGAAGTATCTGAGTTGTTCAAGGTTCTTCACCCCAAAATCTTTGCCCAAGTTGAACAATCTTTGTGTCATCATTAGCAGTGATAATCATGTAATTAACATACACAACAAGCACAGTCATGTGACCACCTTTGACGAAAGAACGCTGTTGATCCGGCATTAATATGCTGATATCCCGTGGCCGCCATAACTTTACTAAGCTTGTCAAGCAAGTTCAAGGAGACTGCTTCAAACCATAAAGTGACTTCCTAAGTCTACACACCTTGCCCACTGTCTGATATGTACTGAATCCTAGTGGTATGTCGATTTACACCTACTCCAGTAACTCACCATAAGAAAAAATATTATTCACATCGAGTTGGTGTAACCACCATCCACCATTCACAACCAGAGAAGTCAATGTCCTCACTATGCTCATCTTTGCTATCGGTGTATAAGTCTCGTTATAGTCAATGTCATATGTCTGACTACACCGTTTCGCCACTAATCGTGCCTTGTAATGTTTTACATTCCTTTTTGAATTTTGTTTTATTTTGAAGATACACTTGCACCCAACTGTTCTTTTCTCAGTTGGTAATAGTACTATCTTCCAAGTCCTGTTCTTATCGGGAGCACCAACTTCCTCCATCATTGAAACCTTTCACTTTGGATCCTCTTAAGCTACCTGACAACACTTGGATATAGAGACAGTGTCTAATGCTTCAATGAATGCTCCGTGTACAGGCAATATGTTAGAGTGTGAGATAAATTGAGCATTTAATGTTAAAAAACAAAATAATTAGGAGAATAATGATCAGGAGAACGACCCGCATTGCTGCAAGAGGTCCTCCCATGGGTGTGAGCGGAGAAGAGAGAGGAATCATATCACCTAGGTAATCAAATTCTGGAATAAAAGGTGTAGGCGTCTCAGGATTCGAGATAGACCAAAACAAGTGACTTGATGGCACGAGTGGCACAGTTGGCATTGTTCCCCAATCTGCTCCTTGTATACACTCTCAGCTTCCTTTGAGCTTGAATCACTCCACCTTCAAGCTCATTTTTCTCTTTTGTCGGCTCCTCAAGCGATTCTTCCCACACAACGAGATAGGCATCATTCCCACATGTACCAATCTCTGACCATCACTACTCTCTCCTCAAGCCTCGTACCTCCAGTATTTGAGGAGTCACCAAATGATGAGGTCACGGTCAAGGTATAGTGCGGTTCGAGCTCTCTAAAAGACACATTCATGCTCACAAACAGTCTCTTATCTATCGAATTCCAAAAAATATAGTTATTCTGGGTAGTAGAATAACCTACGAAAACACACTTCACAGTGCTATGATCCAGCTTCCCCACTCATGGTCCGTTGTCCTTCACAAAACAGACACAACCAAAAACCTTCAATAAGAGAATCCCGCTATTATCTCATTTCAACATTTGACAAGGAGACTTATAATCCAAAAATCTCGAGTGCATTCTGTTGATCAATTGAGACAATGTCAAAACTGCTTACCCCCACAGGTGCTTTTGGACATTCATCATGATAATCATACTTGAGCTACCTCTAGAAGGTGTCTATTATTCCTCTGTGCTACTTCATTTTTGTGTCAGTGTATATGAACATGTGGTATCTCCCAAAAGCCTTATTGGTATACTTCCCCATTATTAGACCTCAATACCTTAACTACTGCACCATATTGAGTCTGAATCGCCCTGTGAAAGTCTTTAAAGCAGAAAAACACACGACTTTTGTTGTCATCAAATATAAACAAGTAACTCGAAAAAATAATCAATAAAAGTCACAGGATATTTGTAACAATTCATCGAAGTTGTAGAACAAGGTCTGCATACATCTGAATGCACCAAATCAAAAACTTAAGAACTCCTATTTCCAGAACTAACATAGGAGCTCCTAGTATGCTTACAAAATTCACAAGCATCACACACAAGCTTTTCTTTATTTACCTTTTCAAACAAGGATGGATACAAACTACTCAATAGATTAAATGAAGAGTGTTTCATGCGCCTGTGATGTAGCAATAATACATTCTCCACACTCCTCTTAGATACTCCTATTCTAGAATTCTCAACCAAGGATGTCAAGGCTGAGTCCATCTCCTCTCTATCCAAGTACCAAAGGCTACTATGTCATGTGTCAATCAGAAGTCTCGGATCAATCTCATTCTCTTAAAAGATCGCCTTTGGAATAACAAATAAAACAACACATTTTAGTTCGACTATAATGACACTAATTGATAAAATGTTCACTGGAAAATGATGAGCATACAAAATATTAGAAAAATTCATAGAATTGATACACCTCACTATACCCTTACGAACCACACTCACTGATGTACTATCAACGGTCTGAATGCTCTTTGAAACTGCTGGATGAGTATAGGAAAAGAACTCACTAGAAATACTTGTCACATGTCGAGATGTACCAAAATCTACTTTTCATTCTGTTGATCTTGTGGTGGATATAGAGACGAGCATGTATATCACAAGTACCTTTGGTTGAGTGAGCATAGCTAACTCCCTTCGGATGACAATAAGTAGATGCATCCTCAATTCCATTGCCTACCATTCTATGCTTCATCTTCAACATCTCTAGTAACTCACGATCCTCGTTGCTAAAGAGCACCATCTTTCCCTAGTTCTCAGCTGCC